ATCTCTGTACTCGCTACCTCTACTTGTGGCACGTTGTCACATCTCAACCAGGATCAACCGTCCGTTCGCACTATTCGAAGCGAGGGGTCGCATTTGCGATTTTGGGAAGGAGTTGGGTCGCATTTGGGGTTGAGCAAGGTTAACTACCTCTGGAAAAGTGTGAACGGTGTTGTATTCTACGGGTTTTTCGACGAGTGACGAAAGTTTCATAAAAGTAGGGTAACGTAGACAAAAATTGGGAAGGGTTGGGTCTGAGTATCAAAATACTACCGAAACAGTAGGGGTAGGGATAGGGGTAGGGGGTCGTATCGTTGAGTCTTTCAAGACTGTGGTGGTGGCGAGGAGGGGAGGGAAGAAGGCGGAAAATTGTTTGTGAAAGTGCGAACACGACGGTTGATCCTGATCTCAGCTATCCAGAAAAACATGTACTGGAAAACGCGGTGCTAGTTTTATTTTGAGCCCTTTGACTCACCCACCAGGAAATCATGAGAAGTGTCGCTAACAATAAAAGACAAATTTCGAAGCCTGTGGGGCATCAGACTCAGAGAATTCTGCATCTAATCAGCAATTTAGGCAAAAAAAGAATCACCTCCAACAAATCCTGTCATGATCAAAACAATTGCTTTCCAGGCTGAAAATCGTGGAATGATGTCGTAAGTTCTCCGTTTGTGTTGGGAGTTCAAAATGAAGAGAGCGATGGCGAACGATGACCAAATGGAGACGAAAAGCATCTTCTTTTGAGCGGCTGACAGGTAAGGGTCCAACTGCAAAACGAAGGTTTCTGCTTCAATAGGTAATAGGCCGATGAGATCGTAGACATACGAAAAGCGATCCAACAACGAATCCCGGAACGGATCCCAGGGTTCCGAATGCAATTGCTCGTTTTTCGATCTGTATCTGCATGATCAACACAACACACATGGCACAAGTCATTCCTGTAATGAGCTTGCTTGATGCCAAGAGGGCGAATTTCATTCTTCATTGAATTAAAAAACGAAAT